CCCTCCAGAACCCCACCCACTACCTAAGCCTCCCTGTTCCTTATCCCCTAACTGCCCCCTCCTAAGACCACCCCTAACTGCCCCCCAGGACCCTACCCCCACCTGTACCCTGACTGCCCAAAACCTTATCCACACCCTCCCCCAGAAAGCCCCCCCTCGAACTCCCGCCCCCCCCCCGTCTCTTGACTGCCCCCTCCAGAACCTCCCTGCCCCTTCTCCGACCCTCTGGCCCCCTTGTTGTTGGCCTTCGCCTAATGTCTATGTGAGCTTGCTCAGGAACGGCTCCGTTCGTCCCGGCAGGCTGGCTGGCAGGGGAGAAGGAGCAGGGGAGGAGCTCCAGACTGCCGGAGGCGATCTGCGAATGCAGGGAGGGATCGCTGCTGCAGGGGAGAAGAGGAGGGGCTCTCTGGCTGTCGGAGCCTCATGTAAGTGGCACCATCCGTCCGGCTGCCCTGTTAGCCGCGTGGGAGGGGGAGAAGCCCGGACATTTATAAATTCCCCCCGGACGCTATTTTTAGCTCGAAAATCCGGACATGTCCGGGGGAATCCGGACGAATGGTAACCCTATTTTAGGGGTAATATATAGGGAAGCAAGCGCTCTCTCTCTCTCTCTCTCTCTCTCTATCAACAAGCCCTTCAGAGGCCCTGCTAGGGCAACAATCAAAGACTTCTTGATATAGTGAGAGAGCTCATGCTGTTATGATAACCCCATTTTCAAGTACAAAAGGCAGTGATATGACTGTAGATACTCCATATTCCATTTCAAGACCACCCCACTGAGGCAGTCATTGGCTTGGAGGATTTCCAGCTAAATCCAAATTTGAAAAAGATTGACCCCTCTGAGAGTGACAAAGTTTGCAAGCTCTCTACTCATTATTTCTTAAGTCAATTCTTTCAACCCACTGTGACTAACCATGTGTATCCTATCACCTGTTCAGACAACAGTCTTAATAGAAGTTTGCTCTGGAGTCTTTATCACAGAATAATGCCAGTTAATTATTTTTTAAATAGGCAATTAAATGGTTTTAGTTTCTGATGGGTGGCCTTGTTAAGATACCTCTTTGCACATTCTGCAGACTTGGAACATTTGCCCCAGGGGTTATATTAAAATAAATCATAAAAAGGATGCATCGAGATGCATGCATAATAAATCAGAGCAATTACATGACCTTACTGTTGTAACCATTGTCCTTTTTCCTTACCGCCCCCCATTGTTGCTGGGTTTTTGTTCTTTTTCCAGTTAGTTATCTTGTTAAGTCTAAACTTTCAGATTTGTGGAGATTGGCTCAGCTTGTGTGCACACAAGAGAGATGAGAAGAAGACTCATGGAGGCCTCCTCACTTTGCACTCATTATTAGTAGCTATTTGTTTTGCAGTAGCACCTAAAAGCCCCATTCAAGGAACCAAGGCCTCATTGTACTAGGCACCACAGGCATACGTAACAGCAATGCCCCTCTGCCATGTACATTGGCCAAACCGGACAGTCTCTATGTAAAAGAATAAATGGACACAAATCTGCCATCAGGATTCATAATGTTCAAAAACAGACTCCAACGAGAATCTGCTGAACTGGAATTAATTTGCAAACTAGATACCATTAACTTCAGCTTGAATAGAGACTGGGAGTGGCTGGGTCATTACACACATTGAATCTATTTCCCCATGTTAAGTATCCTCACACCTTCTTGTCAACTGTCCAAAATGGGCCATCTTGATTATCACTATAAAAATAAAAGACACTCCCGGTCTCAAATTGCTTACAGTCTAAGTAAGCCCATCACGGTCCTTACTTTTTACTGGGCACAAGGTCTCTGTAAGTTTAGCATCAACAGCATCATTAGCTTCCTTGATACCAGCAGGCCCCCCCGTGTGGGAGGAGGAGCATATGCAAGCACCTTTGCAAAAGGTGGCGCAGAAGCTGTCCCTGAATCAATAAAAATGTATGCTAGAGTTCCTGATGGAGCGCAGTGGAGGCACCCCCTTCAAAGTGCAGAAGTATCCTAAGGGCACAGTTATAGCCCATAGATAAGTCAGCTCTTTGGGGGAGCGTGGTGGGTTTCATTCACCCCTTGAGCACTCCACTGCCGTCTGGTCATGGTGCTGCCATTCTCTTTGGCTACTAGTGTCCCCCTGCAGGCTGTCAGCTGGCCTTTGTGGGCCTTATGTCACTTGGCCCTCTGGCTGGGCCCTTCCGGGGTATGACAAACTCAAAAATTAGAAACAGGTCCTTGCCCATCAGGGCCAATAATAAACAACTAGTTTCTTACTCTTTCTGGGTTAGATTCCCTGCCAGGGGTTGAATCAGCAGAGTTCCTTCTTAATCCCAGCCACTGACTGTGGCCAGTAATAGTCCCTGACCCAGCCTGGTTCCTCTGGCTGCAGCCTATGGAGCATCTCTCCTTGCTCCTCTGGCTCCAGCTAGGAACTGACTTGTGGACAGCAGGCAGCTACCTTTTATTTCAGCCTACTGAACCTTGATTGGCTGTTGCTGGTCCCTAGCAGTTCTGACTACCAGAGGCCAAATCTTGCTGGTTTCCCAAAGGCTGCTCTGTTCTTCACAGAGAACTATTTCCTAGGGTGGGGTGCAGCAGAGTAGTGGGGCCTCCAGTAGAGGGCCACAAAGGCCTGGTACACCCAGTCACCGGGAGGGACCATGTCTTTTATTTGCCTACAAAGCAGCATGCACACCTATGAATATGATACTAAAGCATAAATATGATACTAAAGCAATTAATTTGATTGTCCAATATAGTTCTTTGCAAGGCATAGTGCAAGGAACTTTTTGACCAGGGGCTGGATTTTAAACTTGTGTAAATCAGTATAATTCTGTTGAAGTGAATGGAGCTACACCAATATACACCAGCTAAGAATCTGGCCCATGTTTTTTTGAACTAACACTAGTTTAAAACAATCCATTACTTAAAGAACCAAAAATATTTCATCTTTCCTTTAGAGATTTGCCCAAACAACATCTTACCCAACCCTCTTTCCTCTCTCCCTCTCCAAAACTTTGGTGGTTCAGATAAAATGGATCCCAGATCCAAACAATCCCAGGATTATGGTTTGATTTAGTAAAACCAAAGCCAGGTGATAATTGCCAAACCAAAGCAAGTCTCCTTGACCACTCAGCAACTGTGCAGAAGATGCTGCTGTTGCTGCTGAGAATGTACATGTCACATGTCCCTACGGATCTCTATAAACATTTATAATGGCACACTGATGGGGTTCTTTTCTGAAAATCCTGTGCAATGGGTTCATTACATATTATTAAACATTACGATTATAAAGATTTAAAGCTGAATGACTTGGCCATCTTTTCTTCATCTTCATTTTCATCCTGGAAAATTTTCCAATTTGCAATTTTCCAAAACCATCCATCAGCTTTGGTTCAGGACAGTGCACTGCTTATCTTCTAGGATGAGAATATTGCCGGGACTATATTTTATGCACAGAAAGCTAACTTTCACATCAATCTCTAGTTCTCAAATATTTATCTCTCTAGATTTACTCCTAGCTTTTATAGTTTTCTAATTCATGTTGCATTTACAGTAAAAATAAAGATATAGAAATGTGAATCTCATTCAAATGCAGGTGGGAGTGGCCGGGTGTATGGAGGCAAATTTTGGAACCAACTTTGGGTAGCATGTTGAATCCACAGTTTCTTTCCTGAACTTCTGCTCCTGGGGAAGAAGGGGGCTACTGTTAGGGGAAACAGTGAGTGTGGTTTGGTAAAGTGAGCTGTACAATCCAAAACAGAGCAATGGTGCATGTGGCTGAGAACATAGCTCTTCTATGCCTATAATTTATTCATCCCAAGGGGCACAGGTTATGGATTTGAGTACTTTTTAAAATCTGCTAGCTTTTGAAATATTTAAGCATCACATTATGTTTAATGTAAATGATCATAAAAGAAGAAAATTAAGGACAGGAAGTAAGTAGAGAGGGGTGGTGAGTTGTGCACACCATAAGTAAAAGTGATGGGCCTTTGATGAGGTATATAAATAATTAGTAGCACAATTTAAAAGCAGTCTTTTAAAAAAGAATGTTCAGGTTCTGAATACCACAGTAGCTGGGTGTTATTAATTTACAACCTTAATTTCCAGAGGCAGGTAGATCTTTTGACTTTGTCATCAGCAAGATGTCAGAAGATCAAGAGAGCGTGCAAGGTATTTAACTCTTGCTGCAAAACCATTGCTTCAGATTTTTGTCAAATGCTGGGCCTAAAATGACTGGACCTATTCCAAAGTTCAGAGTTCATATGAGGAAAATTCAAAAATTCCCACTGAAGCATAGGACTGTCAAGAACAAAATTAACTAAAAGATTCCTTGGGTAATTCCTTCTAAGAAAAGTCTTCATAGTTGGATCTAAACACTAATACTGCCAATAAGTTATGCTCCTGAGCTAAACTAGAATAGAGAAAGAACAGTGAAATGCCAGACTATTCAGGCCTGAGCAGTACCTTGTCGCCGTCGACTATTGAGTTTCCTAAAGCAGGTGCCTTCGACAAGTCGGTTAAGACGTTGCTGTTTGATCAGCTCTAAGATTTCAGGCTGAATCTTCTCTTTTAGCTCCCTGGAACAAACAAAACAAAACCAGGCACTTTTTAGATTTATTCACGTACCATTTTTTCTCACTGAGATAGGCAGTGTCACGAGAGACTCAGCTTCATTTTGGGGATAGTAGTCTTACTTCAGCACCCCATCTGCTTCAAGGAGGGAAGTTGTCTAGTGGCAGGAATGGGAGGTCCTATTCACATCACTGTCAGTAAGTCAGTATGTGACCTTAGGCAGGTCATTTAACCTACTTGTGCCTCAGTGAAGCCATCTATAAAATAATACTTAGTATCATACATCACAAAGGCATGTGATGCACCTCACAGGATTATTGTGATGCTTACTTGATTAATTGACATAATCAGATGCAATGTTCTATGAAAGTGAACCTGTTATTGTTATTATTTAGTATAAGAGAGAAAAGATCATGCAAGTTATACAATCTGAAACACCAAGAGAAAATAGTGAGCAGTCCCAATTCCAGCTCAGACAAAATAATAACTGATTATACTTGATTGTTTTTATTTCTATATCACTCTGTGAATTTACTACCATATGGAGTTTGTTGAAAAGTTCTGCAGGTTTTGATACTAATGTGTATCTAGCGTTAAATGTTGATTTCAGACACTGTCATGAGGCTGCACAGGTGACTGAATTCATTGGCTATCTCCTTACTTAGATTCATTAAGAATACATAAAGGAGAGGTTTAAACATCAACTTGACAGCAAGTCTAGTAAGACTAAGATGTAACTGAATGTGTAGAGGGGTCATAAAATATGAAGTGTGTCAAGACCATAATTTTGGGTTGCTGTGTGAATAAAGTAATACCAGACATCATTGTGTATAGCAGTAATCACAGTCGAGACTCAGGAAAGGAGTGCAATTGTAGAGGTAAATCAAAATTCCTCCCCTCTGGAAAACATCAGACTTTCCATCTATGTTGATTGCCATGTTCATGTATCACTTCATCTCACATGCCCTCTGCATGCAGAAACCCCACTGAAATCATAGCAAGTTCTGTGTATAAAGATTGCGCCCTTAATCAGATATGCCATAATCCTCCCAGGTACTAGTTAAATGCTTATATATATTGGAACAGGAGTTCTTGATGCACAATCTGCTGTATATTTACAAGCTGTGAAAAATTTATCCATTCAAATATCAAGTGACTAGAACTATAGAAACAAACTACCTTTAGAAAGTATTTTATTAGTACTCTTATGATTATTTTCAAATACCATAGTTTTCCCACTGAGAGCCATGGTATGAATATTCTGCATGGTATTTATATACTGTCAAAAGACTTTAGTGCTTGAATAGGTTTCTTGGTTTTCCAAGCTGGCTAACTTCCCCACGCTCTTTAGGAAAGAGATGGAGAAAAGGCCCCCAAATACAACAGCAATGAGATACAATCTGGATTGGTTTAGCAGTTCTTTAATACAGTGTACATCTCACTGAAATGGCCTCAAGTGTTCGAGCACAGTATAAAGAACAGTTTGATATTTATGCAGTTCAATCCAGAAATTGGATAATTATCACTAAAGTGCACAGAATCATAACACTATAGAAATTAGACATGAAAAACCTAAAAAGGTCATCTAGTACATCCTAGTCCAACTGGTCAGGCTCAGTGTTCCTTCCTCGGGCCAAGGACTGTATAGTGCTTGACACAAATCGGGGGTCCTCTAAATAATAATACCTGAGAAAAATTAAATAATTCTTATTTATCCACTGCCAGACAGGTTTACCAGGTGGCTCGCAGAATACAGAGAGCACATTGTCTCTGCTCTGAAGAGCTCACAGCCTAAACAGACAGCATGCAGGCAAGGCACAGGGGAAATGTGGACTTACAAATTAACAAGGTGATAGAAGTGATGTGAGGTAAATCCCACTCCCCTCCCCTCTGAGATTGCAGTTTTGCCTTTTGTTAACTCCCATGTTTCCTCCTCTTCCCCTCCCCCCCCCCCCCCCGTTGTTGTTGCCCAACATAAACCAGAGGCAGAGAATGAATTTGAATGCTAGCCAATCCAAAAATAAACAAAAACCCTCAAAAGTGGCTCAGTATCTAAAGGCTTTCTTGCCATAAGACAGAGGGAGGAGGGGGCCTTCTCTCTCTCTCTACTGGTATGGCCTGCAACTCCGCAGTATCCGAATGCCCCACAGAGATAATACTTCTCAGCATTACAGGGTATTTATTATCCTAGTTTTTACAGATGGGGAAATTTGGCATGTGGAGATTACTGGGGAGCTTTTCAAATGCACAAAGAAGAGCCAGGTGCCCAATTCTCACTGATTTTCAATGAGCCTTTGAAAATCATCCTCTAGTGACTTGAGCCTAGATCCTGTGCCTTTAGCACGAGACCATCTCCCCTCCTGCCTGGTCAGCCTTCACCCTAGTGTCCTCAGCATGGTGGCCAGTGTAAAATTGTTTTCTACCATACTTTTTCCAGTGCTTTGTCTAACCTCGATTTAATTTTCTTAAGCAACATGGCACCAAGTACTTCCTTTGCAAGACTATTCCAAAACCTAATTCATCTCACTGTCAGGAAGGCTTTCACTCTTACTACTTTCAGATTATATAAAATGGGGTGGGATACACTGAGCAATCCTGCTAATTACTACCCACGGACCTAAATAAAGGACATTATCCTCTGAAGCATTTACGTTTCCTCAATCACTGAAGTCAGTGGGAGTTGAGGGAGTTCAACCATTGTAGGGTTGGGCCCAAAATCAGAAGAGCCACTCCACTTACTGGCAGAAATATCTCACTCTGCCTAATTTGAAAATCAAATCTGGAGAGCAGTAAGAGGAACACAATTTTAAATATATTTTGGGAACGTTTTTATCTTATGATTTCAGAGTACCATAAAATCCAGTCTGTGCCTGGGGAAAGGGCGAGATAGCAAGGAAAATATGAGGAAGGGATAAAACAGCTGATTGCGTTTTAGTTTCTACTACATTCCAGCGATTTAATAATCACAAGGGTTAGGGGGCTGGAAAGGATAAAACACTTGAGAGAGCCAAATAATAAGGTATCACTAACTTTATGATTCTCCCCATTGGTCTCAGCACACCATCAGCTACTTGCTTGTAAAACACACATCTTAGCCACTCATAGCTCACAAGATCTTTAGAAATTATTTTATTTTTTTTTAAAAACAACAGAGGGTTTTTTAGTACCACTTTCATCTGTCTCTAACCCTGTACCTTTCCAACTCCCAGCTCAGATTCCTTCCAATCAGCAACAGTCACTTTTTCTAGAATTGGGTATTTTATAGTCATTTAAATCATTATATCACAATAGAAAAGTAATCCCAAAGCACCTTTCATCTATTATATTGTATTCTCTCCTATTCATTAATGCTTCCTGAACAGTTATTATTGACACTTTCCAGCCTAGCAGAAAATTGTTAAAGATAAAAGAAAGGTATAAAAACCCAAATCCCTCCAAATGTTCCCCTCTGTGTTGCTGACTTACAAACAATCCGTCCCTTACAACTGCTTCATTTAACAAACTCTCCCTAAGCCATTCCAGCCTCCTCTTAAACATCATAATTTTACTTTTTTATTCACTCAGCTTTACTGCTATTTAGTTTGCCAAAGAAATGACCTAGTGCTTTGCATAGCAACATGATCAGTAGAACTGGGCACACCGGCGCTGGGCAAACTACGGCCCGTGGGCTGCATCCGGCCCTTCAGACATTTTAATCTGGCCTCGAGCTCCAGCCAGGGAGTGGGGTTGAGGGCTTTCCCTGCTCTGCACATGCAGTGGCTCTCGGAAGCAGCGGCATGTCCTCCCTCTGGCTCCAACGCGTAGGGGCAGCCAGGGGGCTCCGCACGCTGCCCCTGCCCCAAGCACCGCCCCCGCAGCTCCCATTGGCCGGGAACCACGGCCAATGGGAGCTTCGGGGTGGTGCCTGTGAATGGGACAGTGCGCAGAGCTGCCTGGCTGCGCCCCCATGTAGGAGATGGAGGGGGGACATGCCGCTGCTTCCAGGAGCTGCTTGAGGTAAGCGCTACCCAGAGCCTGCACCCCTGACCCCCCCCCATGCCCCAACCCCCTGCCCCAGCCCTGATCCCCCGCCTGCCCTCTGAACCCCTTGGTCCAAGCCTGGAGCACCCTTCTGCACCCCCAACTCCTCATCCCCACCCCACAGCCCACACCCTGAGCCAGAGCCCTCACCCCCTCTGGCAACCCAACCCCCAATTTTGTGAGTATTTATGGCCCCCCATACAATTTCCATACCCAGATGTTGCCCTCAGGCCAAAATGTTTGCCCACCCTTGGGGTACACCCTTCTATCTTCTTTTCTTCTTCTGCTAGCCTTAATCCTATCTATATGGGGTCAGCACTTTTAGTCCTCCTTCTCCATTCCAATCTGTCTTGAAGCAGTTCCTCAGAAACTCCGCAGCTAATCAAATACTTTTGAATGAAATTCATCCATCTAATTTTGGATCTTCCCAACCCTTCTCATACCCTCTGCTTCTAAATTTAACACCCTGTTTCCTATATATTCTTCCGAACTTCTTTTCACATGCCCAAACCATCTAAGCCTGAATTTCTCTTAGCTTTTCTTTAATTAATTCCACCATCACACTTCCCTTAATTCGTTCATTTCAAACATAATCGAGCCTGGTAACTCCAAGCATCCATTTTAACTTTTCCACTGTATTCAAGATCTGCTCCTGTCTACTCCTCAGTGCCCAGCATTCAGAGTCATACAAAAATGGATTTTGTAGATCTTATTTTTCAATTTGATAGGTACTCTACTATCACAGATCATGTTGCTCACTTCCTTCCATTTAGTCCATGCCTTTCCTGTTCTGCTTATAAATTCCTTCTTGATTTCATCATTATCCTTTACTATTGAACCTAGGTTCTCGAACGTCCGTACCTTTTGGTAATGGGTGGGCTCCCAGACTTAGAATTCCATTGTTTTACTGCAAGGTATCAATGAATCTACTGACCACATAACCTGTTTTATTTCTGCTGATTTTCATGCCATTTCTTTCAAATACACACCTCTATTTTTCTATATCTTCTTCACTTCCTCTTTGCTCTCCTCCACAAGTACACCTCTACCTCGATATAACGCTGTCCTCGGGAGCCAAAAAATCTTACTGCGTTATAGGTGAAACAGCGTTATATTGAACTTGCTTTGATCCACCGGAGTGTGCAGCCCTGCCCCCCCGGAGCACTGCTTTACCACGTTATATCCGAATTCGTGTTATATCGGGTCGCATTATATCAAGGTAGTGGTGTACTACATCATCTGCAAAAAACATGCACTGGGGGGGCCACTCTCTGGATGTCTTTTGTAAGTGCATCAAGCACCAACATGAACAAAGAGGGGCTCAGTGCAGAGCCTTGATGTGCCCTGACTCTTACTCGGAACTATTCTATTTCTCCATTTGGCTTTTTAACTGTGGGTGCACCCTTCCATAGCCATTCAAAAATGATCACATTCAAACACACCCTGTTTTCCCATGGATTTGCTGTTTTGCCAGAACTGGAAGTCGATAAGACTTGAGCTCTGATGTCCCAATAACACTGTGACCTTAGGGAAACAAATTCCTCCTTGCAAAACTGAGCTAATGCAATTATGTGAGTCTAAATTAATAACTAAAATAAATAATAATAATAAATAATAATAATGCCACCATTCCCACTTCAAACTCAAACAAAAGTTGATTTGGAGCATTGTAGACCAAAAGTTTGAAGAGCTATAACTTCTGTATTTTATATGTGGGAACATCAGCAAAAAGGCTCCTTCATGCTGGGGCTGTGAATAGTTACAATCCATTAGCCACATCCTACTACAGCTCTAAATAAGGCTACTGACTTTATATTCAGTTGTGAACAATTTCTTTCTAAGTATCTGCAATTCTTTAGGTCTCTGTGGAGAACCAAAACTACCTTCTCTGGCTTGTTCTCTCTTTTACACACAATGGAGTCATGATTTTATACTTATGTTATTAGTGGCATCTACACAATTTGTGAGAGTTCCGTACATGGAGCCAAATCACAGGGGAAACTAAAAGAGCACTTTCCCTTCACAATCAAGAATAAGTGATCAGAGATGCAATCAAAATGGAAATTCATAGAATTTAAATCACCATGAATACAGTCATGATTGTTTAAACAGCTTAGTTATTTATTTCTTAAGCTTAGCATTTGTCTTGGATCTGAAATGAGTTTCTTTAACATTTACACTGCTTTTAATTGTATCATGGAATGCATTCATTACATTTTGTGGATGCAGACTTTACACTGTGACAATGGCTAGCAACACTGATATTTGGAATCAGAGAGCTTGTGCTGAACTAGCAAATTTCACCATGGTAGGCCAGGCTCAAAGTGAATATAAATAGTTGACCTGTATCACTGATAAATAGTTGACTCACTGGGAAAGTGAGGAAAACAAGAAGCTTTGGGGACAGGTGTAGCACCACTAAGCTGCTTTGAATCTCTGGGTGTTACAAAAGATTGGCAAAGAACTGCTTTGAAGTGTAGGGATGCAAAGCATTTGTACTCCAGTTTTGAACTGATGCAAGACTACAGGTGATATCAATTCTAACTGGGTTCTAGGTCCTAACATTCTAATAATCTGAAGACATAAAAGAATCATTGTCCCTTTGATTCCAGTTAGCATTATTAAAGTTTGTAACTCTCCTTAGTTTATGCTTTCACCATTGTCCTGTCCGAGAAAGGCCCATAGAGTTTGCACATAAATGTATTTTTGCGGATAAACCAAAACCAGAGTCTCATATATGAATCCTTTTGAACTCCAGAGTGATGGAACTGAATTACCTAAATACAAATCCATCTTTACAGTTTCGTCCCATTCAACTTCAAATGTGGCCAACGTTTCATGAAATTTTGGTTTAAAATGATGGAACTCTCACAGTTTCTCAGCTGATCATCTCAAAAGGTTTCTGTTAGTCTGGGTCAAAAGACATGAGATTTGAGCACCACTGAAGATGAACCTGCCCTATGTCAATAGTTTGGCTTCAAGCCCTACTCCAGTGCAGATCCAAAGTCACTTCCATGGCTCATCTTTAGCATTTTCACATATAATGGAGATGCAGACATTTTGAGAAGCAGACACAAGCTATAATAGAGATACCACAACTGATACATAGCATTAGACCATATGGAATGAGTATTACACTGCATATATGTTAACAAGAAATCACCTAGAAATAAGTAACTGTACCTTACTAACATCAAAGATAAAACAAGCAAAGAAAAGATGACACTATCATGCAAACACTTTTTTATGGAGCCAATTTATACTGGTGCTAGTGCTCTGGGCTATTTGCCTGGCTCAGAGAAGTGATATTTTGAATCTTTATGGGGCATTGGACAGAAGACAAAATTTCACCTTAAAAAAATTAATGTGCACACAACCACACAAAGCATGGAAATGGCAAAGCATTATTTGCTGCAAATAAGTCATGCTAGGCCCTATAGGGATTGGCCAAATCTGTTATAACTGAACTCAAAGAAACAGTTGAGATTCCCAGCAGAAGAAAGCATATGCACTTCAATCAGATGCTATTCCACTGCTTTTGAGCAGTGCTCCCTGGGCAATTTTTCCCCTGGGTTCTCCCTGAACAGTTCACAAATGTTATTCACATTTGTTAGTCCTTGCATGCAAGAAGCGACTTAGAGAGGGGAAAGTACTTACAGAATTGGACGAGACTGGAAATCTTCCTGGTTCATCCTCTCGGATTGACGGATTTTCAAAATTTCTGTGTAACTTAGATTCTGAAGTTTACTTTTGAATTGGTCCAGAGAGCTAGGCTTGGTAGTGAGTGCTCTCATTATTTGCTCTTTCACCACCTGCATTACCTGTAGATGAAAGCAAGAAAGTATTATTTTTTTAACTCTTTGGTTTTGATTTCAAATAATATTCCAGTGTATGTTGCAATTAGATGGTGTGGGGAACAGGAGAATTTTAATAATTATCAATAGTGATCACAACGCAAATTTTGCACCATGGACTGCAAAGGAGTTAACCTCTAATTGGATGCCACATATAACAACAAGGGCTCAACTACACTACAATAAATAATCCTCTTGGGGGACCCACTTACAATACAGTTATCTGCTAATACTGTTAAAAAGCAATTCCTGCTTTCTAGTGTGAATGGGACTGTCACTGTCTTACAGTACCATGCTATAGTCCTGCTTTGGCCAAGGCCATAGCCTGGTTTGGGGACAAAGGAGTAACAGAAGGTTGTGTCTCTTCTACATTATAAGACAGAACTACATTTTAATCATGTAAGGGGAACCAACCAAACAGAATGCCCCAACACAGTTTTTATTGTAGAAAATGGTATAGTCTGTAATAGGGTGACCAGTGTGAAAAATCGGGACGGGGGTAGGGGGTAATAGGCACCTACATAAGACAAAGCCCTAAATATCAGGACTGTCCCTATAGAATCGGGACATCTGGTCACCCTAGTCTGTCAGAGTCCTGAGACTGAATTCGCTCCCTGGTTTCTGCCAACTCAGCCCAGGCTGTGGGGCCCCTTCAGAAAGTCTACGTGGAGACGGAATGCAACAGTGCAAACTGTTGGGGGTCTGGAGCTGGGTGGATAGCTCACAAAGCTGGAGAGCATCCATAAGAAGGGCTTTATGGCACTCCTAGTGGAGTTTAAAGCTGCCCTCCCTAGCAGAGGGCAGTAGCAAAGTCTGATAACTGCAGTACTTTGCTCCAATCTGTATTGCATATGGGGAGGGGTGCATCTGATATATATATATATGCAGGTATAACTGCTGTGTGATTATGATGTGCTTTTCTTTTCCATTCCAGTTTTCTCCCCCTTTGCCTTTCTCGAGACTATTTGGTGCAACCACTCGAGTTTCAACCTCAGCCTAGAGGGTCACTGATCTTCACACTGTCTCAGGCACCCATTACTTATTCACAAGGAGTAGAGTACATAGCGAAGGAAATGAAGCTAGTAACAAAAGAATATAAAATCAGGAGAGGGTGATCAATTTTCTAAGGTTGCTATAGGATTGCTTTTGAAGCAGTGCCATAAAAAATGCAGACTAAAGAATTAGAATGAAAGATGTCTGTACAACAGAGAGATATCTACATATTAACTATTTTGCTAGGAGAAAACTGTTGAGACACAGTTAACTTAAGGGATTTGTTTGGCACCAGTACCCATAAATATATATCACAGATTGATCTCTCTCTCGCTCGCTCTCTTTGCTTCTTTCCTCACTGCTGGTACAAATAACATACTTTGAAATGCTTATCTGATTCTGTCTTTAGGTGGAGTGGGGGGAAAAAAAACAGTTTATCAGACTTAAAAAGATTTTTCTCCCTCACAGCCAAGCCAGGCTGACAAGGAGGAGGAAATAGTAACATTCAGCCCAGATCAAAGCAGATCTGTGATAGGAATTAACATCTGGGAAAAGAGGATAGAAAATATTCTTGCATAGTTTTTTCTTTTCTTTTATTCCTTCGTCTTCACTAATATTTCTAAAAATGGAAGCTTGATCCGTTAGCAGACTATGCATTCTGAAAAAGTTCCTTTTCCCAAATGTGTGTATGTTATTGTTTTAGTTTCACTGCATCAACCTTGAAACTGTCATCATCTGAGCTGTGTTTTTGACGTTCATTTCTTGAGATGCAACATCCCTTTTAGACATGAGCTATATACTCATTCTAGTCTTGCTACCAGGTGCAGTAAGCAAATTGAAGCAATTAAAAAGAGATAAGAAAATCTCTCTATTGCATGAACTGCACACTCCTGAGCTTTTTCCAACAATCCATTTCCAAAAGATGATGATGTTTTTCCCCTTCATAATTCTCTCTCTTCAATCAGGCACAAGTTTACATTTCCCCATCTACTTCCAACAGGGCCGGCTCCGGCTTTCTGGCCGCCCCAAGCAAAAAAACAAAACAAAACAAAAAAAACGGGGCGGCCAGAACGGCAAAGCAAAAAAAACCCCCCAAACCTGCGGCGCAGTTGCAGGGGAACCGGCTAGCGGGGGGTGGGGTGGGGGAGGGAGTGGGCGGGAGAGAGAGAGAAGGGGGGCAGCCAGGGCTAAGTGGGGGGCGGCCACGCGGCCCCTCCCGCCGCACTGCGCCGCCTGCCGGGAGGGCTCCGCTCCGGTCGGCGGGGAGGGAAGGACGAGGACTGCCCTACTGGGCTTGCTGCAGGGCGCTCCCATCCTCCGCGCCGCCGCTCCCTACAGGGCGGCCGGAGCGGAACAAAAAAAAAAAAAAAAAAGCGGCCGTGCTGCCCTAGGATTGGACGGAATGCTGCCTCGTTCAATCTGCCGCCCCAAGCACCAGCTTGCTCGGCTGGTGCCTGGAGCCGGCCCTGACTTCCAAAGGGTCATTTTCTGCTGCCCTTACTCAGAGGAGCACTTTACTTTGAGTGTGAACTTGCAGAGTAATATACTACTCTTCGTAAGTTTGGTAGACTCTGGCCCAAACAAAGTAGAGGGTCCAATCAATCAATCAATCCACACATTTTAATATCCCTATCATTGTGGTATTTGGGCTATATCTATAAGATTTTTTAAGGATAATTCATCAGGTAAAAATATATAGGATTCTTTATTCCATGTTTCAGCTGCTGTTCCTTCACCACTTCTAGCGATGTTTGCTTTCAGGTGGCTGCTGTCTGCAGTCCACCAGATAGACCTCTTCTAACTGGTTATTCTACTTGGCTTATTGGCATGGTGTGAGTGATTGATTCGGTTGTCTGTTTCAAAGAGGATGTCTGCATGCTTGTAAACTGATCATTTAAGAGGAACAACTTTTCTCATTGGCTACATTCACAATATAGCTAACAGATTACGCAAGTCCAAGTATTAAATATGCCATCCTTGGCTACTGATTTTACATTGCCCCAGAAATTAAATGTAAATGAGCACACTATCATGATGTTTGAACACGAAGGGACTGATCCAAAGTTGATGGGAATCCTTGCAGTGACTTCAATGGGCTTTGGATCAGGCCCTAAAGGAGTTTCTGAAGTCTAATGAAAAAAATGTCCATAAAAGAATAGCCAGAAACTGATGCTCCTAACGTAAGGAACAGGTGTACTGCTTATTCATAAACCCATATTAGACAGACCAGGTTCCATCTGATTTCTGGTTCCATCTTTCTTTGTCTGTCTTCTTGGCAGCAATTATAGCACCAGTGAAGGAAAACATGCCACCCCAGTTCAGTTTTTCCAATGAGCATGAATTTGGCCCTGGGTATCCCCTCTATTTATCAAGATTGTTACAGGTTCTAGTTGAGCATCTTTAACATAAAGACCTCAGATAGAACATGGTTTTAAAATACTGTAGTTAGCTCAGCTCTTATAGGCCCAATGCTGGACTGTTCACTGCAATTGATTTTTACATCCAACCAACAGCCATGATTTCTGCACCTCGTACTATGCAGTTGCTAACCTTAAAGTACATTTTCAAATGCAGATACTTAAAGTTAGGCACCTAAATAAGTGGTCTGATTCTCAAAGATGCAGAGCGCCCCCAACGTTCATTGAAGTGGAGTGCTCAGCACCTCAGAAAATCACACCATTAATTTAGATGCTAAAGTTGCAAACACTTACACACATGCTTAACTTTAAGACTATGAGTGATCCCTGTATTTGCAGTAGCTGTTGTAATGCAAATAACATGCATGTTTTCCAGTGCTATAATCTTGAAAGCTAACCAGAGGAGAATTGTTAAAGAACGATCAAATCCTCTTTGTGACACCTTTTCCCCCATCAGCACAAGATGGCAGAGTCAACAGGCATGCCAGAGCTAAACCATTGAGGCGATCATCTTCTTCTTAGTGTTAGTTGTGGAATGGTATTTAACAAGTCAAATTAAGTGCCACAGCTGCTAGTTGAGTCATCTCCCTAGCATTGGGAACCACTGCCAAGAACTTATCTGCTCAAAATCTCTAAAGCTGAGTTGCTAGCTCTTGATTACTGCTGCTTGGGAGATTAATTGATCTAAGCTTAGGATCAACACATTTAAAAATTGACCTTACAGGTGTAATTAAAGGAACTCTTTTCCTCAGTATTTCTTAGGATATATCTACACTACTAGACCTATAGTGACACAGCTGCAGCTATGCCACTATAGCAATGTGGTGCAGACACTTACTACAATGATGGAAGGAGTTTTTCCATTGCTGTAGTAAATCCACCCCCTTGAGGGGAGTAGTTAGGCTCATGGAAGAATTCTTCCATTGACCTTGCAATGTCTACACTGGGGCTTAGGTTGGGTTTAACTACGTTCCCTGTGTGTGAATTTTCCACACCTCTGAGCAACATAGCCAGGCCAACCTAAGTTTTAGGTGTACACCAGGCCTCCATGTTGTTAAACATAAACATTGTATATGGTGACTGCAAATGCATTATATATTTTTTTCCCATAGGACATATGCAGGATTAGATTTTGAGGGGGAACATTTTCTCCATTTTGTATCTTTTTTGTTTGATTTTTTCTAGACTGATCCACTGTTATGTGGTGAGGCAGAACTATGAGTTGGGCAGTTTGCTAAAGGTGGTCAACTTAACTGAGACTAGTCAAAGAGTTGGAGTGGTAAAAAATTAAATATATTTTTTATTTTGTGGAGCACAGTGACTTAAGCCCAACTTACTTGTCTGGAATGAGATGGCGGTGCCTTTCATGTCTATCGAATCTAACCTATCTACTGGATTTCTAAGTTGGCCATTACTATATTATCTAACTTCATATACAACTTTTTAGATAGCTCTCGACATATCCTTGTTTGACGTCATCTCTGTCAAGTCACATTTTGATTACTTCTATCTTCCCACCACTCTTATCTTTTTCTCTTTTGTTCTCTCTTATCTCTT